TTTGAATGTTTTTGGGTCTTCTCAGTTTTAACTTGAGAGCTAACAGATTCTCACTCATGTAGTACCAATGTTAAGATGGATACAAAGAATCTTAGCCCAATTTTTGTCTTTATAGCCATTTGTCTAATGGAATCTTTCCTACTCTTACAGCCAATTTCCTTGATTATCAATATATAGGGTTTTTTTTTGGGGGGGGGGATAACAGAATGAGACTGTTTCTTAATATACCCCGCATGCAGGGTCCGTTCCTTCATGGTCCTGCCCACAGTGCTCCCTTATGTAATGAATGACTGTACATCCTTTTCTGTGCTGGGCACAGCTGGTTTTATGATGGCAATTGTGAATTTAATTGGCAATTACACTGTAGTTTAAATGTTATTAATACTGTGAAGAAGTGATAAGGATGCTAAATTGCAGATTCACAATTCAATAAAATGGCATGATAGTAGCCCCTAATATTCCTTTCAAATAACAAATGTTACTATCATATCCCACCAAATAATAAGTATTATTGTTATTGCTACCATTTAATAAGTATTTGCTGTATGGTAGTTGCCATGTGTTTCTCATTTATCTTTAATAGCTACTGTGTGATGAAGTATTATCTTCATTTCATGGGCCAGGAAGCAAAGCTTTGCACATTTTATTAAATTACCTAAATCATGTAGTTTGTTGCTAGAGTTAAAATTCAAGTTAGTGTAAGTATAAAATTCATGCTTTATGTTATACTGTTATAATATTTTATATTTTAATTCCACAAATTTTGGTTTGATTCCTCCTAGGAATAATGTATAATCTTTGTGGTAGGCTGACTAATCATCCCCCTCTCTTTACAGCCCCCCCCCATGTGTATCATAATTTCTGGAACCTATGAATGTTACATTATATATCAAAAAAGGGCTACATGGATGTGATTAAATTTAAGATCTTGAGATGGGAGATTATCCTGGGTATTTTTTGAGACCCTACTAAGTGTAGCAGTAGTGGTAGTAGTAGCAGTAGCAGTAGTAGTAGTAGTAGTAGTAGGTTCCTTTGAGTCTTTAGTTGTAATGTTTTTATCAGTTGATAAATACATAATTTCACTTTGTGTTTCTGCTTAAAGATATGTAATAAATATTTTCATTTATTAACATTGAACTCATAATCAGAAACATGCTAATCCATGCCTGAACAAAGCTTATTTAGTTTACGCATTTTCTTTGTAAGGCACATCACAGATTTAGGAACATTTCAGCACTACATTTGGGACCATTTAAAACAGCAAAATCACAAAGAAAAGGCATAAAAATGTAGACAGCATGGCACTAAATAAACAGTGAAAGAGTACTTGTTTATAGTATGAGCGCAGGAGGAAGAAAGCACAGAGCTGCTTTTCTCCCTCAGCTGGATGGACACGTGCTGCACAATCCACATGTTGCCACTCTCTATTTGCAGATGACCACACAAACACCATAGAATTGACTTGGGGGATACAAATAAATATTAGTGAGTAGACAAATTCACAAATATGGAATCCACAGTTGATCGGTGACCTCAAATCAAGTTAATGTATAGTTATGTTCCATGACACACATACACACATACACACACAACACTTATAGATGTGTGTACTTCATTTCATAATCACCCAGAAGTTGGGTTAAAATGTAAAATTCTAAGACTGGCTGGAGTTCTGTAAAGGAGTGTGAGAGAAAGACCCCAAGACTTGGCTCCTTTCTGCTCATTCTCAACTCCCACACCTAAGATGGCCTCATACGCTCTCAGATTGACTTCTAAGCACCACTCCCCACTCCCCCTATCTCTACACCAGGGGCCATTTGGTGTGAGAAGGCCCTTGAAGGGGTAGTTCTCAGATCCCAGATATACAGATGTAGTTTAGAAGGGTAAAACCCATGGCTCGATCCCAGGGTCTCCCTACTCCTAGGGGATAAGTGTAGCAGCAGAGGGAGTTTCTCTGAGGTGTGATTATCTAGTCATTAGACTCATTTATTTTCTCACTTTCAGAGAATTATTTTCCTCACAATATCACTAAAGCTTTTATCAAATAATTTAATTGTACTATTTTTTTCCCAACACTCATATAACCCAATGTTCTCAGAAAAGATAAGGAAAATAGAGAATTTTTAAATTAACTTTTACGAATACAGTTTTAAAGACTGAATATTTTCAATTATTTCATAGTATTTTTTGTCAAAATCATGAATCTGTGGATTTAGCTCATTTAATTTTTGGGAAATGACTGCTGTATAATTAGCACTGTCAAATCAGTTATCCAAAACAGACTAATTTTCCACAATAAATTCTGACTTCACTTTTCAATTCAAATTAAATCATTAATAAATATGTCAAAATTTTTACAGAAAGCACTGGGAAGAAATTATGAATGCACTTAAGAAATAGATTGCTAAAATCAATTAAGATGAAATTAAATAATATAGATATAATTTACTAATTTTTCTAAGTTATATAAATAATAAATCTATATCCATTTCTCATTATTTAAATTGCAAGGATGTAATATATATGTATATATAGTTAAAATATGAATTCCTTATGAAGGAAGACATGTAAATGTAAGCATGATATTTCTTTGGTAAGTGGTCATTAAATACTGGTCATTGTTTTAAAGTAAGAATTATAGAAACTATTTCAAAAATAGCTCCATTTATGATCAAAATGTCTATAGCATCTTTTTAATGAAAGAGAAAAGCATATGAAGCTAAAATTAACCTATTTTGGTTCAATATATAGAAAGGAATATTTAAAAAGAATAGAAAATATCACACATTTTATGAAATAAAGATAAAGATTGAATGTAATTGGAATATAATTCATTATTAATTCAATAATTATTTTAACTTAGAGCATAACAGAACAAGTTCAAAAGAAGTTACCTAACATTTCAGTCCTCAGGTTTTATCCAATGTGTTTTGAAAATGGTGGTCTAGAAAATAGTTACATTTAAAAAAATTAGTGTCACTAACAGTTACTGCTTTACTGTTTGAAGGTGTTTTTATTTCTAGCTGATGAAATCTGGTAGGAATGAGTATTATAAACAGGTGGAGAATATTGTTAACATTTTAATATATGGAAAAAGGTCTATTTAGTGATCTATCTATCTATCTATCTATCTATCTATCTATCTATCTATCTATATATTTTGCTGATCCTGTTTTGCATGTAATATTCTCTACTAAGAGCAATTCTTTGACAATTGTATAAGTATGGAAGAGAAGGGTCCATTCAAAGAGTCACCATCAATCTATTGTCCAGATTTTACAGTAATCTGATTTCAGGACATCTCAATAACTGTCATTTCTAGCACCCTACTTTCACTGTTAATACAGGTAAAGACAGAATGATGGGCGATACTACAATGTGTTTATAGAGGTTTTGGTTAATTATTGTAAGAGGTGACCAGTCTCTTTTTTATCTTTTTATTTTTTTTTTCACTGGTTCTTTGGAGTTCTTACAGATTTTTTTTTTAATGTTCAGGAAGCACCATTATGGGTTTCTGGATGTAGCACTCAACAGGAAAAGTGTTTTCACACACCTGAAAATCTGTGCTCTCCCCAGAGGTACTGATTTGAAAGTCATCTCTTTGTCTATAGTTAAGTAGAGAAGTCACAGAGGGAAAGAGTAAACAGTTTATGGATAGAATTTATAGGACTTGGAAATAAACTGAACTGGGGTAGAGGCAAGAGAGAAGGCAGTGTTATGGAGGACTCCCAAAGAGGAGGTGCTATTTCTGAGACAAGGAAGATGGGAAAGGAAGCAGGTCTCCTACCGTGTGAGTGTGTGTGTGAATCTCTTTTTGTTTTAGATAGCTTGTGGGCTGATATTTTCTTAAATTATGACTCTTAAATTTTGGGTTAATTTTATCAAATAGAGATGATTATTGGTACATAAGATAACATTAATTCCAAAATCATTACTCCTTTTAACGTGACATCTTTCCTCATCTCAATTCTTAAGACCCTCTAAATAGTTTGTCAAAAGATTCAAATTCATACACCAATGTGTGTATGAATTTAATTTTCACATGATGAGTGATTATATACTTAAGCTTATTAATATAAAAGTGGGACATTTAATCTTTTTAAATTAAACACCATCTTAGATATAGCAGACACCAACGAATCTCTAATTGCTTCTCCTCCGAGTACCCATCAAATTTGTAGAGGGCCTCCCCTGTGGCGCAGTGGTTGAGCCTTGGGCTGCTAAGCTGCCTGCACCGCCAGTTTGATCCCGGGCCACCGGGGAGGGTCCCACATGTCGTGACAGACGTCTCCTGCAGCGCCTGCTGCTCCCCTCAGCAGTGTATTTCGTCAGTCTGCCTGTTCTGTTCCCTGCTCTGGCTCTGTACCCAGTGCTTGTATAAATAAATAAATCTTTGGAAAAAAAAGAAATTTGTAGAAAGGGCCTCCTGCTTTCTGCCACTAGCTCACTGTCTGACAGATAGTAAGTGCTGAACAAATATTTGTTGAGTGTATGAAATTTAGGGTACTGACTTACTAAATTTTTATAAGACATTTAAGAAGAAAGAGGTTTTCCCCACACATGTATGTAATTATTTCTGCGATAGATACCTGTATCTCTTAGACCCGTTTTTAAAACATTTCCATGTATAGTAACTTACTAATAACAGAAACTTTTAAAGGATCGGTCATGCCCATTTAACCCTAAAATCTGTTACTCCTTTGAGAGCTTCCTGTTTTCAATGTCACTCCTCTCATATTCAGGTCACATTTGGGGAGACTGGTAAGTGGTATACAGGTTACTTTGGGGTCTTTATAATACAGCTGATCTATTTTGGGCTGCAAAGTGCCCCGCCCTACTCTCCCTTTCCTCTTACCCCTAATACGGTTAAGGGTCAGAGGCTTGGCAAGGTGGAACTCTCCAGGAGCCACTGGCCCCGGTCAAATCATGGCTCAATCTGTGCCCCGCCCTGTCCCAGCATCCACCTCGCCTCCCCGGGGTGGGGGGGGGGGGCACTCGAAGCAAGCGGAGGTTGGTGGCGGTTGCTGGGAGGTGGGCTTGGGGCCCAGCAGAAGGGCGGCCCTTGCTTCAGCCCCTGGCTCTGCCTCTCAGGGTGTTCTGCAGCAGGTGCGCATCACACTTCACACTCGCCCAAGGTCTGACCACGGGTGAGGTAAGAGAGGCGGGACCCCCTCTCCACAACCTCTTTCTGGGTGTTTCCCGAGCACGGTCTGGTCCAGTGTTGGCCTCTGGGCTGTCTGGACCAGAAGGTCAGAAGTTGTGCTTCCCAAAGCCCTGGGAACGCCTTGGACACCCACCTTCAGCATTCAGGCCGCAGGCATTTTTTGAGCACCCACTGTGAGCCAACCTACCCAGGAGGAACTTGGCTTCTAGGGAAGGGTTTGTTAGTTGCTCTTTATGCTCCTGTTCTTAGGTTACTGAGAGTTTTGTGTTGTTAAAAAAAAACAAACAAACAGCATAGGTCAGTATTGAATTGTTTGGGAAATGTTGCCACCGCTTGCTGAATATCAATACATACATGCAGATACAGTAGTATAACATGAATATAGGTGATTACATATATGATTTAATGGAGGTAGCTATAAATCTAACAAGATAATATATTGAAGTACAGAAATAAAATTAATAGTTTTTTTTTTTTTCCAAAAGTGGCCTCTGGGCTCTATAGTCTTTTTCATTTTTTTAAAGATTTATTTATTTATTTATTTATACAAGCACTGGGTACAGTCAGAAGCGCGGGAGGGTGAGAGAATTCACCAGAGCCAGAGGGGAGAGTAGAACAGGCAGACTGATGAAGTACACTGCTGAGGGGAGCAGCGGGTGGCAGGAGAGATCTGCGTTCTATGTGGGACCCTCACCCAGAGGCCGGGGATCGAACTGGCACTGCAGAGGCTGCGGGCAGCTTCACAACCCATCGCTCAACCGCTGCGCCACTGGGGAGGCCCAAAATTAATAGATATAATGCACATTGATTAATTTGATTTGCTAATATTTCATTTAGGATATTTGCATATTTATGCTTTTTCTTGGTGTTGGCCTATTTGGTATAAACTTCCCTCTTATTGTAAATTTTTGCATCCCATAGGTTCTTTTTTTATGATTCTATTTATATGAATTTTTTAATTTAAATTTTATTTTTATATTCCCCATACAATTACAACCCCCTTATTTTGGCACCCCCACCTGCCATAGAGTGTCTCTGGTACATAGTTGTATGTTGATTTTGATTTTTTCTTTCTTATAGTTATTCTTTTTCCTGGTCCCTTATTTAAGTTTTCTAGATTCCTGCTATGAGTAAGACCATCCGGTATTTTTCTTTTTCTTTCTGGCTTATTTCACTGAGCATGATCCCTTCCAGCTCCATCCATGTTGCTGCAAACTGCATGTGTTTATCTTTTTTGAATGCTGAGTAATATTCCATGGTGTATATGTACCACATCTTCTTGATCCAGTCATCTATTTTTGGACATTGGGGTTTTTTCCAAAGCTGAGCTATTGTAAATAGTGCTGCTATAAACATAGGGGTGCAGGTGCTCTTTGGAATTGATGTTTCTGTGTCCTTTCGGTAAATACCTAAAATGGAATTGCTGGATCATATGGAAGCTCTATGTTTAGTAGGTCCAGAAATCTCCACACAGCTCTCCATAGTGGTTGGACCAGTTTGTACTCCCACCAACAGTGCAGGAAAGTTCCTTTTTCTCCAAATCCTCGCCAACATTTGTTGTTGCTAGTTTTTTTAATATGTGCCATTCTCCCTGGTGTAAGATGGTATCTCATTGTAGTTTTGATTTGCATTTCCCTGATTACAAGTGATGTTGAACATTTTTTCATATGCCTGTTGGCCATTTGCATTTCCTCTTCAGAGAAGTTTCTTTTTAGCTCTTCTGCCCATTTTTTGACGGGATTATTTTCTTTGTTGTTGTTGAGTCTCATCAGCTCTTTGCAGATTTTTGTGATCAGTCCTTTATCATTAGTGTTGTGTGCAAAAATGTTCTGCCAGCCGTTGGGGTTTCTCTTTGTTTTTGTTATTGTCTCTTTTGCTGTGCAGAAGCTCTTTAATTTGATGTAGTCCCAGGTGTTTATCTTTGCCTTCACTATCACTGCTTTGGGTGATGTGTCTGTAAAGATTTCTTTGATGTGCATATCATGTAGTGTTTCGCCCATATTTCCTTCTAAGTATTTTATGGTTTCAGGTCTTACGTCTAGTTCTTTAATCCATTTTGAGTTGGTTTTTGTGCATGGTGTGAGGTAGTGGTCATGCTTCATTCTTTTGCATGTAGCGACCCAGTTTTCCCACCACCATTTATTGAACAAACTTTCTTTGCTCCAATGCATATTCTTTGCTCCTTTGTCAAAGATTAGTTAACCATAAATCTGTGGGTTTATTTCTGGATTTTCTATTTGATTCCATTGGTCTGTGTGTCCTTGTTCCTATACCATGCAGTTTTGATGATTATGGCTTTGTAGTATAGTTTGAAATCTGGGAGTGTGATGCCTCCATTCCCTTCTTTTCTTTTCAGGAGAGCTTTGGCTATTCGGGGTTTTTTGTGGTTCCATATGAATTTCATCAATAATTGTTCTATTTCTTTGAAGAATGACATTGAAATTTTTATTGGAATAGCATTGAATCTGTATATTGCTTTTGGTAGGGTGGTCATTTTAATAATGTTTATTCTTCCAATCCATGAGCAGGGGATGTCTTTCCATTTCTTTGTGTCTTCTTCTATTTCTTTTAACAGTGTTTTATAGTTTTCTATAAAAGAGATGTTTTTTTTTTTGATTTCTTCTTCTTCAGATTTATTTTTGTGTAGAGGAAGGCTACTGATTTTTGCATGTTGATTTTGTATCCTGCCACTTTATTGAACTGATTGATGAGTTGAATTAGTTTTTCTGTGGAGTTTTTGGGGTTCTCTATGTATATTATCGTATCATCTGCAAATAGTGATAGTTTGACTTCTTCTTTTACTATTTGGATTCCTTGGATGTCTTTCTCTTGTCTTATTGCTCTGGCTAGGACTTCCAGTATTATGTTGAAAAGCAGTGGTGAGAGTGGACATCCTTGTCTTGTTCCAGATCTTAATGGGAATGCTTTCAGCTATTCACCATTGAGAATGATACTGGCTGTTGGCTTGTCATATATGGCCTTTATGATGTTGAGGTATGTTCCTTGTATCCCAAGAATTTCAAGGGCTTTTATCATGAATGGGTGTTGCACTTTGTCGAAAGCTTTCTTGGCCTCTATTGGTATTATCATATGTTTTTTATATTTCTTTTTGTTGATGTGTTGGATAACGTTGATTGATTTTCAGATGTTGAACCATCCTTGTGTCCCTGGAATGAATCCTACTTGATCGTGGTGAATTATCTTATGGATACACTGTTGGATTTTGATAGCTAAAATTTTATTGAGGATTTTTGCATCAGTGTTCATTAGGGAGATTGGCCTGTAGTCTTCATTTTTTGTGTTGTCCTTGTTCGGTTTTGGTATCAGTGCAATTTTGGCTTCCTAGAACATGTGTAGTATTACCCCTTCCTTCTCAAGTTTTTGGAAGAGTTTGTAAAGGATAGGCACTAATTCGTTTCTGAACATTTGGTAGAATTCATGTAGAAATTCATCAGGTCCTGGGCTTTTGTCTTTGGGGAGGTTTTTGATTACCATTTCAATTTCGCTGCTTGTAATTGGTCTGTTTAGGTGTTCTATTTCTTCTTTATCTAGCTTTGGGTGATTGTAGAGTTGTAGAAATTTGTCCATCTCCTCTAGATTGGTGAAAATGTTTCCATATAACTGTTCATAGTAGTTACTGATTATTCTTTTGATTTCTGCTGTGTCCGTTGTGATTTCTCCTCTTTCATTTATGATCCTGTTTATTTGTGCTTTCTCCCTTTTTTCCTTTGTGAGCCTGGCTAAGTGTTTGTCTGTTTTATTTATTTTTTCAAAGAACCAGCTCTTGGTTTCATTGATCTTTTGTATTGTTTTTTTTAGTTTCGATTTCATTTATTTCTGCTTTTGGTTTTTATATTTCTTTTCTACTGGTTTTAGGGTTCTTTGTTGTTCTTTTTCTAGATCTTTGAGCTTCGAGATTAGGTTGTTTCTTTGAGTTCTTTCTTGTTTCTTGATGTGAGCCTCTATTGCCATATATTTCCTCTTCTTTACTGCTTTTGCTGCATCCATACACTTTAGGAAATTGGGTGTCCTACTTGTCATTCAATTCAAAGAATTTTTTATTTTCTTCTTAGATCTCCTCATTAGTCCAGTGGTCTTCCAGTACTGTGGGTTTCAATCTCCATGAGGCAGGAGAGTTCCTTGCCTTCTTTTTATGATTTATTTCTAGTTTGATGCCTTCATGGTCAGAAAAGATGATTGGCATGATTTTAATCTTGGTGTATCTGTTGATGTTTGTCTTGTGTCCAAGTATGTGATCGATCCTGGAGAATGATCCGTGTGCGCTTGAGAAAAATGTGTAGTCAGATTTTTTTGGGTTTAGTGTTCTATACGTCTGTTAAGTCCAAGCACTCTAGATCCTTATTTAGAGCTTTAGTGTCTTTACTTATGTTTTGTCTCCTTGATGTATCCATTATTGATAGTGGTGTGCTGAAGTCTCCCACTATGTATGTGTTTTCTCTGATGTCTGTTTCCAAAGATGACAATAGTTGTCTGATATATTTCGGTACTCCTTCATTTGGTGAGTATATGTTAATGAGTGTTATCTTCTCTGAAGTATTGTCCCCTTATCATAATGTAGTGACTGTTGGGGTCTCTTTTTACCTTTTTGAGTTTGAAATCTGTTTTATCTGATATAAGTATAGCTGTTCTTGTTTTCTTTTTTGGTCCATTTGCTTGTAGCATTGTTTTCCATTCTTTAACTTTGAGTCTATTTTTATCTTTTGTAGCTAATGTGTTTCCTGGAGACCAAAAGGTTGGGTTTGTTTCTTAATCCAGCCTGTGACTCTGTGTCTTTTTATTGAAAGTTTAGTCCATTTACATTAGAGTTATATTGATATGTTAGCATCTGTATTTGCCATTGTGTTGGTCTTCCTTTGATTTTATTTATTTATTCTTTTAATTAATAACTTTTTTTTTGCCTTCTTTCATTGTAATTCGTCCCTCTATGGTTCTGGCTTTAGGACTCCTTGTAGTATTTTTTGGAGTGG